GCAATGCCTTCAGTGCAGCTTGAATTTCTTCCTTTTGTGTTATGATTCTTGATCATATCCTACATCTTGAAATTGCGCAGAGCTGACCAGTCCTTTTTGGTACAGAGATTCTGTGTATTCCTTCCACCTTATTTTGATGCATTGTCAATGCAGATCTACACATAGATAACAGCTGTCTCAACACTGCAGAGTTCAAAGTCAGGAAGGGTTGTATCCTTTCTCTCTATCTATTCAATCTGTATGTTATTGTTGTTGTTGTGTATTGTAGAGTTGGAAGTGACCCATAGCTGACCCTCTGGTGGGTTTTCAGAAGTAGTTAATTCGCCCATCCTCCGGCAAAGCAGGTGGTGTCCTCGAACCGAGTGTCTTCAAGTTTGCAGCACAGCTTCTTGCCACTAGGCCATGAGTGAACAAATAGTTTGAGAATTCAAACTAGATGAAGAAGAATGCGGCATTAAGATTGGAAGAAGACTCATCCACAAACTTGAGCAAAACCTGCAGAAAGTGAAGGCTTGAAGCACTTACTAAGATGAAGACTATGGTCTTGAATACAGATCACCTCTTCACATCAAGTAAGCAAAACTCTTCACCATTGGTCCACCAGGTAACATTATGACTGACACAGGTTGTCAATAATTTTACGTCAATCCACAACCAGCACTCATAGAGTAGCGGTCAAGAACTCAGAAGATGCATTGCATTGTGGAAATCTGAGTCAAGGTTTTCACGTGTTAAAGAGCAACAGTGTCAGTTTAAATACAACAACGTCAGGATGACAAGTTGTGCCTGATCGAAGCCATACTCTCTTTTTTTAAAAAAATTATTTTATACTGGTTTACTTACAAAGTTCACACACATTGTTTTTCACACCAAATCTTTCCCATTTCCTTTATTCACCCCTCCCTCTACCCATCAAATTGTATGACCCTATGTTACCCCCTGCCCATCCTCTCCTCTCTGCTCCTACCCCCTCCCCCTTGGATTTTCATACACATTTTACTGAATTATTTTTCTACAAGAATGGTCTTCTACAGTATTTGTCCTTATGGGACTGCGTTCATTCACTTGGCATAATGCTCTCGGGTCTCTCCCAAGTTAGGTAGTGATTTTCAAAATCATTGCTCCTGCGTGCTGCCTAGTATTCCATAATGTGAATGTATGCGTCTGAAAATTGGACATGAATAAGGAGGACGACAGAAAAAGAAATATCTTTGAATTGTAGCACTGGTGACAAGTACAGAATATATCACAGACTGCCAAAAGCACAAACAAGCCTGTCCTGGAGGAATTGCAGCCAGGGTGCTCCTCAGAGGCGAGGCTGGTGGGACTTCACCTCACACACCCTGGGCATGCCGTCAGGAAGGACCAGTCGTGGGAAAGATGGCCCGCTGGGCAAGGAGGAGACGCACTGAAGGGGAGGAAGTCCCTCAACAAGACGGACTGGCGCAGTAACTCACAAGGGCTCAAGCATGCTGGAGAGCACGAGATTATGCAGGACGGGGCATAGCTCAGATCTGTTCATTGTAGAGTTGACTGGAAGGCCACTGGGAGCTCTGGTGGCCTAAAAGTAAGAAACTGTGCTGTAATTCCAAAGCTGTGTGGTTCGAATCCACCAACCACCCTGTGGGAGAAGGATGGGTCATCTCGTCCCATGTGATCTAATGCCTCCGGGAATGTGCTAGTGGTTCAGCTAAGGGTTGGTTCTGACTTGATGGCACAAAATGATGAATGACGGCGGGCCATAACAACAACAACTACAACTACTACAACAACAACAACAACAACTACAACAACAACTACAACTACAACAACAACTCTTCTATTTGTTTAAAATAGGTCTCAACAAACTTCAGCCTGAGTCAATTCTGGACACTGCCTGTATCTGTGAACTTTGGAGCTAGGAATGATTTTATATTTTTAAAGAACTGGTAATAACAACAAAGAAAGAAGATAATGTGGGAGAGAACTTATGTAGTTCTTGAGACCTAAAATATTTATTATGTGGCGTTTCACAGAAAAAAATATGCTAAGCTGGGCTTAATATTTCATAAGATTAAAAGAAAGAGAGAGACATAGTTGAATAAACACCAAATTAAGGAAGAATGATTTTGTCCTTTTGAATGAAGTGACTCTCTGAATTTTGACTTACCTGTTTCTCTACTCTGGTCTTTCATGAATTACTCTGAAAACTCGTATCAAGAAGAAATCTCATCAAGTGATTATACTATGGTACTTGTTTAAAAGACTGACAGGAGGCAGTCTTTTCAGAAGATTTTTTTGTGTGTGTGTGTGCCTTCTATGCAGTGGATATGGGTTTTCTTTCTGGCCAACATACCTCATGTGCAGCTACCACCAGTCTTTTTACCCTTCCATTTATTGTTTCTTAAAATAACTTTATTTTTTATTTCTTGGATGTTTCTACCTTGTTTTGGGGTGTTGTGTGTGTGTGTGTGTGTGTGTGTGTGTGTGTCTGTGTGTTTTGTTTTGTTTTTTAATTTCAGGTCACACTTGCCTGAAACCTAGAACTCTTAGAGTCTGGTGCAGTACTTTCAGGTGACTCTAGGGAGCGCTGGTGCATAGTGAACAGAGAGGTGTGCTGGAGGTTTGAATGCAGCAGAAGTCAGTTCTGACTCAGTGGCTATGTAGAGGGGGAGAGAGAGAATGAGGAAGAGAGGAAGGGGCGGCGGAGAGAAAGAGAGAGGGAAAGCGGTGGTGGGAGAGGCTGAGAGGGGTGGGGAGGGAATTTTGAGGAAGGTGACATGTTGTCTGTCGTGGTGGTGTATCGTGGAACTGACCCAGAGCTGACCCTCAGGCAGCTTGTCAACCCCACTGGACGAGACTGCCCACTGTGCCTTCGGAATTGTAGCACAGCTTCTTGTGATTAGATTATCAGAGCTCCCGAAGGTGGCAAAGTGCATAATATACCAGGTTGCTGACACTAAGTTTGTAGGTTCGAATCCACAGTGGATAAGCAGTCTACTCCTATAAAGATTTACATCCTCAGAAACCTGATGAAGTTGGAACCCAGTCGATAGCAGTGAGTTTGTTTTTTTGGTACCTTGGTGACTGTGGTGGTGCAGAGGTCTTGTTAATGAGCTAAGATCTGGGGACAGAGGAGAGGCATCATGTGGGACTTACTCTTGGCTTTAGATTCACATTTTCTGTTTTTTTATTGCAGTCCATCTCTCTGAGAAAATTTTCATGCTCATTTTTCACAGAAGAGAATGGCGGAAAAGTTAAATAAAATTCCTAACACCATACAACAGTAAGGGTTTTGAAGGAGATGTCTGAACAAGTCAAAGAAGAGATTTAAAAAATGAAAACGAATGGGCAGAGATTATTATGGGGAAGCTTGTGAGATAATATATCTAAATTACTTAACACACCTTAGTGAAAATAAATGGCAGCTCTTATTAAGTTATCATAGTTCTGACATTGCTAGATAGGTATTTTATTTCCTTTTCAAAGTAACAGACACATCAGTATTACCTCTGTGCATGAAAATAACATTTGTTCTTTATCTGTAGTTCTCTCAGCACTTTAAAAATAATCTTTTTATAATTAATTCCCACAGTAGCTCTCCCTAACATTAGCCCAAGCTGGTAAAAATATTCAACATTTTAAAATCAACATAAAGAGATTTCAAGAACTATTCAGTTAATGAGGATATCTAGACCCAAATCATCATTGAATAACCTTAAGTATTAAACTGAATATTTTAAAACTTGATGTTGCTACTAATTAAAATATATACACAGCAAAACAACAGCCACGAGAAACATCAGGTAAAGATTATTCATCTGATCGCAGTGAACACTGTTCCCTTGTTCAAATAGTAACTTTAATGAGAAAGCTAAGATAATAAGTAAGCTACTTAACTTGGCCACATTATTGATCATGTTTAACATTTAACTGGCTTTCTAAAAATTACCATGAAATATTTAAGCTACGGTGAGATGACTGCTGTGATAGACAAGTGTCAGGAAGTGTGCAGGACAGAACAGGGTTCAGAACTTTCATTCATAGGTTCACTGTCCGTAGTACTTGACTCACTGGCACCTAACAGCAACATTTAAGGTATATGGGATGTTTAAATAATAACTGGGATTATGCATTCACCACTGAGATTATAAAACTTTTAAGACTAGCATTAAAATCTCTATGTTCCCTTCCTTTCCTCAGCTGCCTATCTCTCTCCTCTTGAGTTCTAACTATTGTTCCGAACATGCTATTATTTAGTGTGTCTATGCATTTGTGCTGTTGGAGAAGAGTATTGAATATACCATGGACTGCTAAGAAAACTAACAGGTTCATCCTGCAAAGGGTGAAACCAGGCTGATTCTGAAGCTTCATCTGAACTACTTTGGTCATGCTGCAAGGAGGGACCGGTCCTTGGAGAGGGATGTCATGCTTGGGAGGGTGGAGGGACGGCGCAGGAGGGGAAGACCCTCTATGACGTGGACTGATTCAGTGACTGGGGTAATGAGGCTGGGCTATGTGCTCTTTATCTGTTTTCTGCTCTGGGGTGGTGAGGGGCTGTGCTATTCTCACTCTCTCTGTTTCTCTCAGAGAGACGTCCACAGACCTGTGCCTCCATGTCCAATTTTCTAGTCTCAAGTATATCAGGAGTGAAAAAGGACTCAACGGCAATAGGTTGGTTTTGTGTATGCATGTGATTCTTATTAATTTTTTTTATTCTTATTAATTTAACCACATAGATGAGACAAGTCAGACTAAGTAAGTTCCCTTTTGTCACCCAGCTTCCAGAAGATGAAAACAGAGGAAGTGAGAGGGCAGAGTAGTTGAAACCAGTCTGCTTAGCACTAAAAACCTTTCCTTTTTACTGAACAGATTGAGTTCATTCCTAGGACAGAACAGGAACTTTAGTAGAACATAAAACAACAATAATAATTTTGGTTTATAAATATTACAAAAAGTTGAAAAAAATTCTTCTGAGATAGCTCAAGACTCATGACCGCTTTTTGGGGGCTGTGTCTTACCTTGATCACCTCTGGGGTCTGTTGAATTAAAACCATTGAAGTGGTCTCCTGGGCTTTATCGTCCGCCGGACTTCTACAGATGGGCAGATTGGCCTGGGAAGGAGTTGTTAAGGTCTCCTGCAGAATCTGCATCATCTCCTTTTCCTGTGATAGACTCCCTCTGCCCGATCTGCAGTCAACGAGCTCTTGAGCAAAGTCTTCAATACTTTCCAGAATCCGCAGAAGAAGGGCTCGGTCCTCTTCCTCTATTTTGTGTCCATTGGTTTCAATGATCCTTGTTAGACAGGAAGGTGAGACTTTTTCTGAAGGTGAAGAGACTTTGGTTTTAGCCTCAAGATCCACGGGGATCTGACCAGTCAATTGACTGTGATTATTCTGAAAAGTGGAGTTTTCATTCTTAGCAAACGGCTCCCTTAGAGAGGTCTCCATTTTTTGAGAGAAAGATTCCAAATCCATTAACAATTTATCGATCTCTTCCTGACTGCTAGGATTCATAAAATCTCCATGGCCTCCCTTTCCACCCTCTGGAACTTTTGTCTTAAAGTCTTCCTCAGGTGGTTTAACAACTGGCTTCTCAAATATCTTCCCAGCAGCATTTTGCACTGAGGTTGGGCATTTTTGAAAATGAGTGTCCTGGTCGGATAGTTCTGCTCTACCTTGATTTACCTTTAACGACTCCTGACCGGGCCCATTCTTTGTCTTTTGTTGTTCTTTGCCAAAGGCTTTCTTTCCACTTGATTCTTCGTCAATATAGAGAGTGTCGATTAAGTCACCAGAAGAGACATTCTCTAAATTGTTGATGGTTAGTGACTGTGATTGGAGCTGGACGGGTTTGTGAGCTCTGGGATCACTTCCCTCTAAGTTACACGAGGAATTGGTGGAGTTGTTCGGAATGTACTTTACATCGTCCGTTTTCCTTGAATTGTGCTTGTCGTGTTGCAGTTCAATCATCTGAAGAGGTCCAGGGTCTGAGAGCTGAACAATGTCCTCATATTTAGGGGGCTGCTCAGTGCCAAATATCGGGGAGAAGTGAGTGAGCTGTAAACTAGGCATATTGCTCATCAATTCTGTTAAGTCGAGAGCCTCGTTTTGCCCAGAATGTACAAATTCAAATGGTAACTTTTTCAGATAGGATGCTAGTCTGGTCATGACATTCATATAGACCGTTTCAGAGGTAGAAGTTCCATCGGGACTACTTCCTTCACTGATGCTACTCCCTGACTTCTTCTTGATGCACTTCTTGATAATGTCTGTGCACGTTTTCAGATCCTCAGAACATTTCAGCAAAATATCTAAACACATCTTTATGTCCGTCCCGGAAGAAAAGCTGTCTAGTTTATGTTTTTCCAAAATCTGGGTGACCAGGTCTTCTTCAGAGAAGGTGTGGAGAAGCATGGAAGTCAGGTTCAGATCAAGGGAGTGTCTATGAGACAAAGGCTTTTCCTCCAGGGAGGAACTCCGGAGCAAGCCGAAGGATGGGGAGTTTCCATAATTGTTGTAATGTCCACAGGGCAAGTCAAAGTCAACTGACCTCCTATTAAATGAGTCAGACTTCACCTTCCTTCCCTTTTTATAAGCTGCATGATTGGAGTTTCGGAGCTTCTCAAGGGAAAATTCTTTTATTTTCCCACTGGCAAAACTGATGGCTTCCCCTGCGATGTCCTTTAAGTTAGAGGTGTTCTGAAGGGCGGCACCTTTCTTGACCTTGGACACGCCTGTGAGGGCGTGATGGAGATCATTGCCTTCAGCAGAGGACAGCCCATTTTCATGGGGTAGAAACAGAGCGTCCAGGTCCACGTCCTTGAAGCGAGGCACAGGGATTTGCAGGAGGTCTGCGCACACACTGTGATGCACCACGATGCAGTCAACCCCGTGTGCGAAGGTGTGGCAGGTTCCACTGCAGTAATGGATGGCTTGCTCGAAACGACGGTCTATCACCACGCTGCTGTAGTGGTTCACGGTGCTAACCACAAGTCTGTAAGTGGCTGCCATAGTATCAAATCCACTGAGCAGAATCTTCTAGAACTCCAGTTTCAAGTACACTTCCCAATTGACAAGTAACTGGAAAAAAAATATGTCTCTGGCTGCAGTGTTTAGTGGACACTTGTACTTAAAATGACTCTTCTCAGAAAGGAAAACCATCTACATTTGAGGTTGGGTAACTGCCAGGATACAGTAGCTGCTGCACATGTGTTTATCTGAGCAAGTACAATAATTTAAGGTAGAATATCAACTGTGCTTTTTTGTCTTACAGAGAAATGTCATGAGGTGACAGGGTTATTCTTGTGAGAGACTGTCATTGTTCCGGTCTTCAGTGATTCAACAAAGCAGAGACTGATGGTCATGGATTTGCTGTCATAAATCTTAGCTGGTAATAGTAAAGTACTCTGTTAATGGAGTCCTCCAAAAATTTGAATGATCCATGTTTGTTTGTTTGTTTTCTGTGACCGAATGAGAAACCTACAGTAAGAAAAGAAAAGAATTAGAGAAAATATTTCTTATACTCAACAAATTCAAATGATACCGTTCAGTTGGAAGCAACTCTAGCAGAACTGCAAGGCTACAGACCCGTCTTTCTCCTCAGTAGCTGCTGGTGGCATCGAACTGCTGGAGACGTGTGGGCTCTGAAGGAGGAGCACACCTCCTCATGGACTCCTTACCGACTCCACCACCAGAGCCACTCTTTCTTATTCTGAGGAGACCTTTAGTTCCTCTTCTTCTGCATCTCCTATTGGTCTAACTCATTGGATTCATGTTCAAGCCTTTCAACAACTATTTCTATCTCCGTACGCCCTTTATTTTGTTTTCCCCGCCTCACCTTTAGCTTCCATGAACCTTGTTCTCCTAAAGATTGTCACACACAGGGTCTGTTCTTGATTCTACAGCTTCATTTACACTTGGGAATCATTCTCCTATCATCAACTTTTCCTTTACTCTATGCGGAAGTACAATCTTCATTAAAGCTTGGGATTTCATCCTCCCAGATCCTGTCCCATCTGGATAATATTCTTTCTCTTCATCAAGTGAACAGAATTTGCTTAACTGTCCTCTTGCTTTCTGAAAATTTTTCTCTGGTAAAAAAACCCGTCTGCTATATTGTAATATGTTGGACATGCTGCTAGGAGAGAGAAAGGGATATTATAGTTGGAAAGGGACAGCATTCTTAGAAAGAAGAAAGAGGAAGACTCTGAACAAGGTGGACTGACACACTGACTGCAACCACAGACTTGAGGGTGTCAGAGAGCATGATGGAACAGGACAGGTCAGGGTTCAGATCTGTTGTTCATAGGGTCACTATGGGTCATACTTGACTGCACTTAACAACAAGTGGCTTTAAAAAAATGTTTTCTCATTTCCTTTACTCAAACATGTACTAAGTGTCCACCATGTACCAGGCACCGTTCCAGGCAGAGACTAAAACTAAGCCCCTGTACTATGAGCTCAGGACCTAGTCAGGCAAAGGGAAATATCATCTATGTAAACAGCTCTCAGAAATCATGTAGGTAAACAGTTCTCAGAAGGTGTTAGGAAGAAAATCAAAACAGCATAAGGATTTCTGGGAGATGCGAGGATGCTGTTTTATAAAGAGTAGTTCAGAGGGTGGAGGGACAGCGTAGGAGAGGAAGAGCCCGGATGAGATGGATTGACACTGTAACTGGGGCCATGTGGCTAAGCGTGTCAGGGTCAGTGAGACTGGCTCAGGATAGGGCAGGGTTCGGAACTGTTGTACACAGGGTCACTATGAGTCACAGGCGACTCAATGGCACACAACAACAACAACAACAACAACAACATTCCAGAGATCTCAGGAATAACAGAGCAGAGACCTAAAATAAGACAGGAAGCAGTTTAAGGAGGTGTTCTGGGGTAAAATTTTATCAGCTAGGTAGTCCGGTATCTTGGGGTTAAAATGTTATCAGGTAGATTAAGTGCAAAGGAGGTTACAGCACACTTGATTCAGCAGAAGACTGACAAGGAAGTTAAAGAGATGAGAGTGTGAAAGCAAGAGGGACCTTGGAGAAGACAGTTCTGAAAGGAAGGAGGGAGTCTAACTCACGCAGGGCCTGTGATGAATCTGGCTTTTACTCTGAGCAAGCTGGGAAAGAACTGATGGACGCAGAGCAGAGAAACGGCATCAACAGCCTTACACTTTAAAATGATGACTCTGATTGCTGTATTCAGAGGAGACCAGATGAAAAGTATAAAAACAAAGTCTGCAATAATCCAGCTCAGAAGCTTGGACTTCTTCTTTGGTGAACTATCTATTCAAGTCCCTTGCCTTTGCTCATGGAGGTCTTAGAGACTTAGTGAACCCAGATAGAATTTAATTCATAAAGAACATTTTCTTGTCATAAAATATCTATTTCCTTAAAATA